GTTTTTTTTAAGTAAGTTTTATAATAAATAATCTTTGGAACATATGATTTTACGACTTTTCTAATTGTGTCTAAGCTGTCAATTTTAATTTTTATTTCGTGTTGAAATGACTTAAAACTGTCATGTCACTCACTAATTGGACTGACAACAATCGTTTTCAGCCAACCAACTGCAACCCCAAACTTCTGCGCTCGTAGATGGCGTCCAAATTCCATAGAATTTGACGCGCCGATATGTCGTTTCCTACTCCGGGCCGAACTAAGGTGTTAGTTGAACCGTGCCGAGAGTCAGCCTGGCTAATAAACTAGCTCAGTCTCAAACGGTGGGTTCAGAGAGATGGCGACCTTACCCGGGCATCGCGGATCTCTGCCCGGGTGGACCTTACCTTTCTCCGCAACTCGTGGGATTCAAATAATGGACACTAACAAAAAAACAATAAACACCACAATGGAGCCGGACACTCCTAAGAAACCCGTCACGCTGGAGTAGGTGGTACTGCAACAGCGACAGGACCTGCGAGCGTTGGCTCCGCCTGTGCTGGCACCAGCTAGGTGGTTATCCCGAAAGGGCCCCATCCCAAATTGGGGGTGACAGGATGAAGGCAGTCGGCCGCCAGCACCTCTGCAAATTCGCTAACCCCTCAGCCGCATGGTTGAAGAAGGTGGAGTGCTCCCAAATTATGGCCTAGTGCAGAGACGCCACAGCCGAAGAGGCAGCGATCTCTAGAATTGTCTGGATCTGCAGCAAAGAGATCGAAGCTCCAACCAACAAAGTGCCAACAAAGTGGTGGCCAGCGATAATCAGCGGTCGGCTGACCTATACAAGAAGGCGACGTCCCCACTAGGCCCCAAGCGATGATCTGACTGCCGTCCTCCATAATAACGCCGAAAGAATCCTCTTCATGTTGTAGAGGTGCAACCCAAACCTCCCCACCCACGACTGGAAGGTCGTAAAGGTGGAGCAGCATGAGGTGCCGGTTAGTCAGGCCATCGTCTTGCCGAACAAGGAATCGGTTTTCCCAATAGAGGCTGCTCACGGGGAACTGAATTTCGGTTTCAGCTCGATCAGAGTGAAGGTCTACCAGGGAGACTCGAGCGCGAAGCAGGTTGCCGACCGGGTAACCCAGCCGAGCAGGTTTGTCTGGAAGAGCTTGAGGCTCCCGGGGACGACTAGTCGGAGGATGGCTTTTCCACCGACGCATCGTTAAGCAGAGTCTTGCAGGCGATGAAGCCGGCTGTAGGAAACGACGACGTCTGTGACGATGAGGGAGCCGACGTCACGGTGGTGAAGGGAAACCTTTCAGATGTCATTAAGACTACTGCAAGTGAACCTCCACCACAGTAAGGTAGCGTCTGCTGCTCTGCTGCTCCGCCTGGATGACAAATGGGCAAACCTAGTGCTGGTACAGGAACCTTGGGTCGTTGGAGGCAAGGTCTCTGTACTAGGCACCAAGGAATTCAAGTTGCTACTTGACTCTAAAAGAGGTAAAATTCGAACCTGCATTTTAGCCAAAAGGCACCTTAGCATATTTCTGCTTCATAATTACAGCAACGGATACAACACCGTTGCAAGCCTGGAACTTCCAGCGGCTAACATAAGGGTAACTTCAACGTACATGGCCTTCGGCTGCGACGCAAATGCTGACCACACTTAGTGGGGAAGCCCTTCAAGCAATAACAGGTTCCTATGCAACAGGGGTAACACCCCCACCTTCATTACAAATAATAGCCAAACGGTCATTGACTTAACTTGGTGTTAGGCAGTCTGCAAGCAAAAGTCAGAAATTGGGAAGTCTCAAGCGAGCACTCCTTTTCAGACCACAGATTCATAGAAACTACTCCTAGGAAAACGATCAGCTTGGCAAACCTTCTGCTCAAACATAGAGGAAACAACCGTTGCAGCTCGGCTTAAGAAGATCCTCTCCAAAACAACCCCCTCCTTGGGATACCTAAAAAAAACCAGATGACTCATGGTCAGACTCTTGTAAGGAGTCCCTACGCCTACTTCTAGACACCCACTTTCCGGGTAGTCATCCGGTAGAACGACTTCCAGAAAATCAGGCTAGTTCACGCATCGGCCTGAAAACGTTTCTTTCTGAACGCAAAAAATTACCAAAACCTGATCATTTCTACCCTGCGCACATCGAAAATGCAAGTCAACTTGCCGTCAACTGGTTTAAGAAAATTTTCCGCACCATACTTAAGGTAGGAACATTGCCATCAACATGGAGGGAAACAAAAGTAGTCTTTATACCCAAAGCGGACAAAGCCTCGTACATGACGTCGAAAAAGTTCAGTCCTATAAGTCTGGCATCCTTTCTACTTAAGAGTTTTGAACGACTGATTGGACTGCACATCAGGTCAGTCATGGACTCAAAACAATTATCAGCAGCACAACATGCATACTCAAAGGGCAAGTCCACCGAATCAGTTATACACGCGGTAGTCAGCCAAATCGAAAAGTCACTCAACCACAAGGAATACGCACTTGTTGCATTCCTGGACATAGAGGACGCTTTCAACAATGTTCTTCCTGCAGCCATAACCGAATCCCTCACCGACCTGGGTGTTGAGGTTCAAGTCGTGGAGCTAATCCATAAATTGCTGATACGCAGAATGGTAACCTCCACTCTAAGAACGTCAACACAAACAAGGTTCGTGATCAGGGGAACCCCTCAGGGTGGTGTACTCTCCCCTCTACTATGGAACATCGCAGTAAATACACAAGGTTCGTGAACAGGGGAATCCCTCAGGGTGGTGTACTCTCCCATCTACTGTGGAACATCGCAGTAAGTATGCTGCTGTGTAACATGGAAGGGGGTGGATGTAAGGTTGTGGTATATGCGGACGATGTAGCCATTATTTTTTTAGGGAAATCCCCTCAGATACTATGCGATCTAATGACCGCTAAGCTTTAAATACTCTCTAACTGGACATCAGAAAGAGGTCTAGGGGTAAACCCCTCGAAAACGGAGCTGGTGCTGTTCACAAACAGATACAAGGCTCCTCAACTAAACCCACCAACATTTAATAACTGTTCTCTCTCTTTCAGTGATAACGCTAGATTCTTGGAGTTAGTACTTAATAAGCATCTGACATGGAAACTGAATAGCCAAGAGAAAACGAGAAAGGCAACAATTGCCCTCTATTCCAGCAAAAAAGCCATCGGAACGATATGGGGCATGTCCCCGAAAATCGTCCACCGGATACACACAGCGATAGTCAAGCCTACGGAGTGTCAATATGGTGGCCTGCGCTAATGGAGCAGACAACCAAAGCAAACCCTAACAAGGTTCAACGAATGGCATCCTTATGCATAAGCGGAGCCCTTCGCACCACCCCCAATGAGGCGCTAAATGCTATTCTGAACCTTCCCAGCCTGGACTTAGCCGGCATGGTGCGGGCCAAGATAACTGCGGTTCGAATGAGGGACTTAGGGCAATAGAAATCCCAAACATATGGATACTCCAGCAAGACTCAACAATCCCACCTAAAACGGATCTATGAGAACCAATTTAATACAGCCACATCCGCTTTGAAGCATTGCTCTTAACCAGAGAAGACTGGGAGCAAGGTCTACCGGGCCTAATAGAGGCTGCAATTTCTACACTGACGGCACCAAATTAAATAATCAAGTCGGAGGAGGTATATACTCCGACCAACTTAACATCAGGAAATCCTTCAGACTTCCGGATCACTGCAGTGTCTTTCAAGCGGAAGTATATGCTATAAATGAAGCACTGATGCTCCTAAACGATGCAATCTGTCAAACTGTAAACAAGCGGCTATCAGGTCGATTATCTCGACCAATACAAACTCTCAAACCATATCAAACTGCCGCAAATCTCTACATGAGATGGCTTTGCAGTTTAAAATATTCCTAATGTGGGTCCCGGGTCACCGAAACTTGCAGGCAATTGTATTGCAGATGAGCTGGCCAGGCTGGCCGTTCCTCTCCTACCAGACAAGGAGAACATTGGTATGCCGATGGCCACCTGCAAGCTGAACATTAAAAACAAATATAAAGAACTTGCGAGCCTAGCATGGACACTACATGTGCATTGTCGCGTCTCTCGCCAGACATGGCCAATTATTTATGCGAAGGGAACTTCTGAACTTCTTAGGCTAAACAGTGCCGAGTGCGGAATGCTAATTCGAGTGCTTAGAGGCCATTGGTTGGTCGGCACACAATGGACCTTTTAGGTCTAAGTGAGTCAATAGTTTGACAGCTTCTCTAACCTAACCTAACCTAACCTATGTAGTTTCCTGCGAAATTTAAAAACGAGTGCCTTAAATATTCAATCATAGGGGTCTTAGTACACCTCTCTGCTTCTCTCCAAATTTCATCCGGCGCACAAGATTATCCTTTAAGATATGTTATGTTAATTTTGACAACAGAATAGGGATATTAAATTAATATATGCGGAAGATACCGGATACACATCTGATCGATTTCAAAATATGCCTCGGGGGCATTGCCCCGACTGTAATCTTTTTGCTGATAACTTATAAAATAATAGCTCGATTTAAAAAATGTTTTTGTGTACCAATAGGTATGATCGAATATGACATACACAGCCTATTAACTTATTTCTTAGAATAAAATGACAGTCTTCGGAAATGCCTCCTTCCTTCGTTACATAGTTCTCATCGAATGCAAAATACCTTTTTACTAACGGGTATAAATAGCAATTCATATGTAAGATACCATAAGGTTTATATTGACCAGAGACATTTGGCATTTGAGTGCACATGTATAATGTGATGTTTTTATATTGAAAATTTTAAAATACCAGAGCTGATAGACTGAGTAAAGAACTTAAACTTACTTTTGTCGAATCTTCTTGCATTTTAGTATGCTCCGCTATAAACCGCACACAAAAACAGCTTTTGTGAATCTTAGGGAGACACTTGGAATGAGAAAATGCTGGATTGTTTAGAAGGGGACTCTTTATCCTTAAAGATCCGGTATCTATATCCGGGACGGCTGCTATTTCGTCTGAGCTACAATGAGTGAGTGGCAACACGGGGCCATGCACTTGACAGCTTCCTCCAAAGGGTCCATTGGCAGTTAGGCTATAATTCAAAAAACAATCTTTATTAAAATTTGTATTACCCAATATACTTACATTTATTGAATTATGCTTATTATTACTCTAATACTTAGATTTAGCTTTTGTAATGTATACATATAGGTTCCCACGGATACTTACCTTGGTCATAACCCACTGTAAAATGTTTGCCTAAATTAGGAAAAAAAGGTAACTCCTAAGGCGAATGTCAAAGCTAGTATTATTATTAATATCGAGTGTTCCATGTTCTAGATTTTAAGCAGCTCTGTCTTTCTGTTTTGAGTGCCCATCGTATGAGGTTGGCTTGCAGCATCTTAAATCTTAATCATCCTATGCGAAGCCTAAGTTTTCTAAACACGTGGAGTTATAAATCAAACAGAAGTTTACCCATCTGTGACTTAAAATCTCTCGCGCGGCCTAACTACTCAATTCAGAAAAAACACTAAGCATATTGACCGTTCAGTTCTGGAAAAGTCCAACCAACTTATCAACAAGCAAGCCTTTCAAGTAAGTCGTACTTACAGGAACCCAGCCAAAATTTTATAGTGACCCACCCTCACCATTTACTTAGGGTTTATAGCTGATTACCAAATCCCCTTTGGTCGAAGAGGCTTCGATCAAGGCCAATCTACCCGGCGTGGTATACGACTATAAATTGTTTCGAGCATTAAATGCGCGACCAGACTCCCGGCCAGACTACTGTTACCCGTGGTGTTTTGATTCGGTGTTTCGGTTCGGAATAAGTAACGTAGCTTAGATAATGGACGTAGATAATGGAACAAACAAAATTAAAATAAATAAATAAATATAAAATAGAAAACCATTTAAAATAAGCAGCAATTAAAGTCATCCCTGTAATGGTCGCCTTGGTTTCCAAAACGTGGTTTCCCTCCCATACTTAAAATTCTGGAAAGAAAAAGATTTTATCTGTAATTTTAAATAAAGTGTTACCAACTTTGGTAGCAGTCACTGTGAATGACAACTATTTATTAATCGGTTGGCATCCCTTTATCGCTCTGAGTGGCGAGATAAGGTTGCGAACGCCAGCTTACTGTCTTTCCGTTTCAAGTCGTGCTTACGACCAGCTAAAATCGCTCTAATAGGAGTCAAGCCCAACGGAAAAAAAAATAAAAAAAAAGACAAGAAATCCCTTCAAAATCCGTAGGCATCCGATCTATTGGATATTTGCCGATGGATATTTGGCACAATAAGCCTATTCGTCGCTTAAATAAACCTCTACGGTAATTATTCCGCAAGTTTAAAAATAAAAAAAAAACCAATTGAGTTCTAACCTACTCTTTCGAACACGACAGGCCCTTCGTACCAATCAGCCGATTAATTCAAATGCGAGCTGTAGTACTCCCAACAGTTTTTGTTAAATATTGCAGAATTACAAATATTACTTGGCGTAAGTTACTCTTTATACATAACCTGCACCTCAGTCGGCTAAATTTGAACTCTTTAGCTAGCGCACCGCAACATCGTTATGACACCCATGGAGCTCTACATTTGCCAAAAGCTCCACTAAAACCAAAAACTCATTTAGACCAGTACATGCACTAAGGCTTGGCAGCAACGTGATAATAACCTGATCACGTGATCACCACCAGTGACCTCCCCTAGCCCATCCTTGTGGTTTGACCAGCGATTGGGACACATTAAGTGCATGCAGAACTCCCACCGAACGGAAAAAGGCGTAGGCAGCAATAAATAGCATCGTTATATAAGAGTCGTGGCAGCATCTTAGAACCAAATAAAACCACCGAGGAGATATACAGCAAAACAACTTAAAGAAAATGCAACAAACAAACTTAAAATAAATTTCAACATAAATAGTTAAAAAAAAGATTAAGAACTTGAAAAAAAAACAGTAAACTCTTAATTATCGCTAAAAGAAAAGCGTAAATTCCATAACAACAAACCAGTAGATGGTGCGCATTTGAAGGAGAACATGCCGCATATTCAGGCTTGGGATTAAAAGTGTTGAAAAACATTTTCAAATCAACATCTCTGGAGCAACATGAAGGCCTTCATCAAGAAACAGGAGTTCATGAGTGTTTATTTAAAACTAGATAAAGCCATTATTTAAAGCTAACGGAAACCAACTAAAATTAAAAAACAAAAAAATCAAAATTAAAAAAAATAAAAAATACGTCATCAAATGAATTAAAGCAATGGCCGTTTCCGAAACCATGTATAAAGATAATGTGAAAACAGAAACGCAATCTACAACCAAAAGCTTTTTAATGTAACTGGTCTAGCTGCCTATATAGCATTTGAATTTGGTTTTCGTTTTGAGATAATACAGACCTTTCTGCTCGTATTTTCATGGGTTTATCTGAAAACAGCCTTTGATTTGCACAATATTCTTTTTCGATTGTCGCGATGAATAAATGTCTCTATTTCAGCTGGTGTTATTGCGGGAATTGAGTTTAATTGTTTTGTTGAAAATATGTTAAAGTAAAGGAAATTATAAAACAAAATAATGATTACTATTGAATATAATAACAATGCTATGTTTTTAGATTAAACTTATCATGAATATAAACGTTCCTACGATGAAGAATGGTTTTAAAAATCAAGTTAAAAGTTAAAAAGTTAAAAGTTAAGAGAGTAGATGAAGATACTGCTTATTAGTCGACCTTTAATGAATAAAATACAATAAGTTTTGATATGAGTTGCTAAGAGTATTAGAGACATGGGGGCGTAAATCAAACAACAAAGAGTCGTTAACATATGGGTTTCTTTTTAGTTAAAAAGAAACATGGTTGGGTGGGTTAAGAAAACTAGTGGACATTAACATCATCGCCACTCCCATGCATTACTTTTTTTTTTTGAAGATCTCACCTATTAAGTAAATTATTTGTCTTGGCCTTCCTATATTCGCCTGTGAGAAGGCTTATTGTTTTTGAAGGCCTCTTTAATATTAAGTGTGTAGTGTTGTGTTTAGGCTTCATCAAGAACCTACCCCACCAGGAATGAGCTACCGTTTAATGGGTCCCGCCGCCGCTGATTGCACCTAAACTACCAAACAACATCACCATGCAACACGCTACAGCCCCCCAAGTAAATGAAGCCAACAAAACAAAAAGTGTAACTTAAAACTGAACATTGAGTAACACAAAATGTATACCTTCGATATCACTAAAAAATTTAGAGAAAATCGGACATAAATATAATAGAAACATAACAAAAAGAAAATCACTTAATCTCAGTAACGAAATAATGCTACCTGCAAACTATATACATGTTAACACTGTTAAGGAGTAATCATAAGTCGATACAGATCTTGGGTGATTATTGGATCACCCTAGTGTTTAGTTGCAAAATCAGCATAAACATCTTTAGGGGCCGTGCCTGGTTCTTGGCGGTGCACGGTATGGTGAGTTATGATGATTTTGCTAGTGTCAGCACTTTGCTGCACGAGCGGTCGGCTTGCCGGCCGCGCATAGCTTACGTAAAGTCATATATGTTTTCAGTTTTAATTTGGACATTTAATAAAGAGCATTGGCTTGAATGTTAAACTCCGGCAGTGGCCGTCAACACTTACTCTATTAATTGAAATTGGTTATCGAGCCTTAAGGGCCGTTAGCAACGGAGTCAGTTACTCCCAACGTAGTATTCGTAAGAAGAGAGAAGAGAGCCATTTGCACCCGCCCGGCACAACCATATGAGCAGCCAGCCACGGTGGCAATTACGTCTTCACCCCTTCCCCCGGACCAGCAACTCTTCACTCTCACGGACAGCGGCGAGGGACAGTGCGAGGCTGCACAAGTAAAATATAATTGGCACCCAACTTTAATACCGAATCCGCGACACAAAAAAATGTAAGTGGGCTGATCAAAATGAATACAGTAAAACTTCAAATACACATACAGGGAAAAATAAATAAAAATCCCTACAAACTATTTACCCAAAATTAAAAAATATACAGTTTGAATAAAGCAATTGTAAAGGTGACTTACAAATAAAGTGAATTAATATCGGCCGTCCCTAAATAAAATCTTCCTTCGGACGCCAAGCACCCAGTTATTAATATAAAATTATAATATACAAAATTAATTTGTCGAATTAAAACATTCGGCCTCCCAATAACGTGTGTTTAGTGTCAACGAATTAGTCGCCTTATGAGTTTTCCAGGCCCATATAGGGAAACTAAACACGAACTTGACAGTGACAGTGAAGAAGAATTAATCCGAGATACCCGGAGATATCAACCAGCACGGGCACAACAAGAAAGTAACGCGGAAACCATGAACGCAACACAAATAGAGGCGTTAATTCAGGCCGCATTAACTAGCCAAGAACAGAGGCCCAGAGCCGAATTCGCGGGTCAGATCAACGAGGTTAACCAACAACTTCAGAGCTTGCGTATAGAAGCGCCAGAGGTAGAATGTTACCAGAGGGTAAAGGTAGTACCGGGAGCACCACAGTGCGATATACCATTACATATAGTGAAGTCGATTCCAGATTTTACTGGCATACAAGATGAGTACGTGGCATGGAGGCAATCCGCCACTGATGCCTACGAATTATTCGAGTCTTATGAGGGCAGTTCCACGCATTACCAAGCGGTTACTATTATTAGAAATAAAATTAAGGGACCAGCACGCGCACTGCTAGTTTATTATAATACAGTGCTTAATTTTAAAGCCATACTAGCTAGATTAGACTGCTCCTACGCAGATAAAACATCTTTGCGCCTATTACGGCAGGGACTTGAGTCGGTCCGTCAGGGCGACCAAACACTTATGCAGTACTACGATGAAGTCGAACAAAAATTGACCCTCGTTACAAACAAAATTGTCATGACTCATGACGACGAAAGGGCTTCATTACTCAATTCAGAAGTTAGGGCTGACGCCCTACACTTATTCATTTCCGGTCTAAAAAAAATCACTAAGGGCTGTTGTATTTCCAGCACAGCCAAAAGACCTGCCAGCAGCACTGGCATTAGCTAGAGAGGCAGAGGCCAGTATCGAGCGAAGTATGTTCGCCGCCACA